GCAAAAGAGAACAGCTAGAACTTGGGTGAATTAACTTCTCTGGAAGCAACGAGCCTGCTCCTGGATTCATTTTTCCCCAGAGAACAGGCATATACACCTGAAACACCTGCTGGGACAAACCACACGGTGACCATGAAATGGCAACGGCTGCTGGGAAGGGGCAGATCGGGACAAGGTGATAAGGCTTCCACTGCTCAAAAGCGTGTTTTAAGAGCAGACTTTTCAGCTGGGTTGTGTCAGTAATGTGGGACGAAGGGTTAAATGCAGAGTTAATCTCCAGGTGTGAGGGATCGGATTCAGGTYTTCTGTATTTAAGCACTCAACCTTCCCATTTGCTCTGCAGCTCCTACTTCTCACTCAGTTGCCTACCACCCAACTTAAATGCACATCTGCTTTCTCCTCCAGCCCTCCCTGACACTGCTCCATATCTTAACAGAATCTTTTTAAAACTTTTTTTAAAGAATGATCATCATTTAAAAATTCTAAGGTCTAATTCTAAGGTTAATGCAACACACAACCTACTGCACCCCATCACGAGCCGAGCACAGCTGTGGCTTCCAGAGCACATCATGCAGTACACATCCAGCTGATTTTCATAWTATGATATAGCAAACACTGATTTTTGACAACAAAGTCACAATAGTGCTCAAATCAGCTACTCTGATCTCTAGGGTACACACAAATGCACACACTCCTCAGGTGGCTGGCCCCARAAGGAAGGTGTGACCCAGCACATAAAATGCAAAGCAGTCTAATGTATCCTGCCTCCTGCACAGTCAGAATAATTCCACATCACTAGGCTTGTCACAAAACCAGATTGGAATAGGAGGATGTTATCCAACCCTAACAGTGCAATTAAATGCACTGCAGTAACTTAGCAAAAAAAAAAAAAAAAAAAAAAAAAGAAAAAATGACTGCATTTGTATTAAAAGTCAGTAATATTCAGGAAAAATAAAACAAACTAAAAGTACAGATGAACTAGGTAAAATATTTAAGAAGAATCTCTTTGAGAGGAATTAAAAAAAAAAACCCTTGAAGACAGAGGGAAAGAGTTTAAAAGAGTGGATTTTCTAGAATATTTTCCCTGTAAACATGAAGCAGAATTTTCCCCTTTTCTTTATTCTCAAGTGATTAAAAAGCTCATACAGACATAATAGTCTGTTGCTATGTACATTTTAAAAGAACATCTGTTAAAAATTCTTCCCCTAACACTTAAAGAAAAATAAAGAAGGGATTGCAGAGAAGAAATATTTGCTTAGAAGATAAACAGAAAAAAACCCCCAACTATAAGAAACAGTAGGGAAAGGGATAAGTGGCATGGTGTAAGAAGGGCATGCTCATTCTGTTATAGGAGGATAAGTCCAAGGCTGATTTTTCACAGGCTGTCCAAAAAACAGGCCTGGCAGCCAAAGACACTAATTTTCCACCTGCAAACACATTCATTCCCACACTTTGCAGGTGCAGTCATCCCATTCCAAATATAGTCCTTCAGTGTTTTCTTTCACAGCAAAGCCACACAGTGCTGTCTCCAAGAAAAATGCCAAGCTGACAGTAAAAGATTGTGCCCAACGTAGCATGGCAAGAACACAGGAATACTATTCACACCAGCAACCAAATCTACGTGTGAAGTAGTAGTATTCTGCAATATTAAGCCATAATCTGCAACAGTGCAAAACCCATCAGATATTAGTAATTATAGAGCAAGATACTGAAAGTTTCTTCCAAGAAAGGAAAACAGACCCTGTTTTTTTTACTGTAAGCTGTAACTTTAGTCTTTTGAATCATTTAAAAAAAAAGACAAGGATTGTCTAATACTTGKGTAGAAAGCCGAGTTGCACCCACACTTTCCAAAGCCACAAGAGTGTGTGGGTTCTCTGTTTTTGGAACAAGAGCACAGTGAAAGCAAGCTTGTTTACTCTAGACACTGTACAAAGACTTACTTTTTAAAAAAATAAAATAAATGGTTGAAAGGATGCCTCCTCTGAGGAGTTAGCAGAAAATAAAAGGCAGACTTATATTTCTAATCTATGCAAATATCTACTCCACAGGGCATCCCAGAGACTGCTTTATATCAGAGAGTATGCAAATCCCAGGTGTTTTTAATATGTCAAAAGCAGACACAGCATCTCCACCTGCGATGGCTCCTCACTCTGCAAACAGCTGGGCAACTAAAAAGAGGTTTTCTGACTAGCCTGTAGAGCCCTCCATGAAAAATTCCTTTTGCTAATGTGCCAACCCCAATACTCCCACCCAAATGGCTTCCATCAAGCCCAGAGTTTGTTTTTTTTCTTCTTTTTCTTTAAGCTTATGCACAAATTCTACTTAAATGTTTCAAATTACAGTAATTATAAAATGATGAAACTGCTACTGGTGCTTCAGGAAATGATCACAAGGCCACAAATCATCATTTTCACTGGAAGATACCTGTGGGACTGGTTGCAGGCAGAGTATGGGGACTGGAGGCAGAGGAGATGCACCAGTAGCTTGGAGGAGACACAGTAGGATGAGGAAGAAAGTACAAATGGGGTCACAGGAAAGATAGTGTCTGCTTTCTGCACATTTCTCTAGGTTTTCTGCAGGAAGCTTCTACTGCTGCTCCAGAAACACCGCTTTCCTGAGAAGCCTCCTTGTAACTGAGGAGTGACCAAGGGCTAAGTCTTGAAAAGTGAGGAATTCCGAACCGTAGAGTCACATGGGCCCACTAAAGGGATTAAGGTGTTTCCCAGATTACTCCTTTTCACATCCTCTCCTGCAGACCTCAGAGGTGGAACTCAAAGAGCTGTTAGCTGACCACAAAGAGCTCTGCAGCAATCTTGTCTTTTCACTTTTTTTTCCCCCCAAAGGCTCCAACAGACCCTTTTCTCTCCTGTCATCAGAAACACCTGGGTCCCAACTTAGCTTGGTTCCAACCCATTCCACACTGAGTGGTGTCCAGACGACAGCCACTACCAGCCCAATGCCCCTCATAACTAGTCTCATGGGCCACCCAAGTCAAACAGTCCCCCATGCAGCCACTGCAAAGTCACCTACCTTTGGAATGTCGAGACCAGTGACAGATTTATCACTTGTATATGACATAGAAAAGTCAAGCACACAGGAACTGAATGGGCAAGCATATAGTTTGCACCTCACTATCACAATAAAGCCTAATCCTAAAAGCAGTCGGTCTTCATTTTGAAACAACTGTTTATTAGTTTACCAAGAGCACACAAAACGAAATAAACCTAAAAAGCCAACCATCTCAGTTTGTAATATGATTAGATTGACAAAGACTTCCCTCATCATTTGTTTCAGAAGAGGAATTCTCCATATTCTCACTTCTTGGCATTTTCAACAYGACATTTACTGCATCTACCTAGAGTTGCACAGTTCAATGTTTGCTGCCCTCACATGATCCAGTATGAAGCAATTCTATTTAAAGAGACAAAAAACTTCACAGTCTAATCTGTATCTGAGATCCATCAGTAAACTGCTGTTTTTGCTGTAGATATTCAGAGATTCTACGGCTAATGTTATCAATCATGTTAGAAAGAAGGAAAAAAAAAAMCAGCATCTACTCAGTGTCAAAGTGCTGTGAAGTTTAATAGTCAAGGAAAGGTTTTCTTACTACCCACCAGGGCAAAACGTKCAAGTATTCTTCTGCAAGTGAACTAAGAATGAGCCGTTGGCTCAGTGAGATGACAGCATCACAGTGAGTGTCATCCTTATGTGCACACAATTCGCCSAGGACTGGGTTGGCAGAAGTGCAGAACATAAAGTTGCAGACATCTCCCCTGCACAGTGATGAATTCCACGGCACAAGGTTTCCCTCTCCCAAGGCTCACAGGAAGGGAACACAGAGAAACACCCGAGTCAACCTTCAATCCCAAATCTACTCCAAGGACGTGGAAGTTGCCTTCAGCCCACAGCTCWGCGTGAATACCACATAGGCTGTGGTCAAAAGACTGCTTGACAGCTTTCTTTTCAAAACTAAATCTTTTGCATCCTACCACAATTTCTTCCTCATTTCAGTCAAATAGATAAATAATTTAAAAGATGCATCTGCAAAAAACACCACTTCACAGTTTACACTTCCTAGAATGAAGCTGCTTTTTCTCAGCTCTTCGTACATCAYTCTCAGTAGGATGCCCGTGTGGCCAGTTTGGGGTTTGCAGCAACAGAACTTTCCAACAACAGGGCTGTTTTAGGAAGTTTCTGCCAATCCTGTTTCCCCCCACCCACTCACTCCAGGCTCTGCCACATAGTTTAGAGCCCTGCTGATGCAACTTCACTCTAGACCAGATAAATGAAATCATTTTGAATCAAAAGAAAGCAAGACAGCAAGACCACCCCTTTTCAGGTAAGGTGGACTATTTTTTCTTTTTAARTATGATGCAGATGCACACGAACCACACTGATGTGATCTACAGAACCCCCGCTCAAAACACTTGGACTGTTAAAAATGCAGGGCCCTGAGTAAAAGAGCAAGTCCTACTGAAGTTGTTTGAAAAGGTCCGCCCTGGTTACAATTAAAGAACTAATACTCTCTAATGATTTAAATCCTTTTGTGAACTACGAGGGGAGAAAAACAGCAATGGTATGGGCAAAACAGAAAAAAAACACTCCAAAGCCTACTTTCAGCAAAACAGAAGCAAACATAAAATTAATATGCTGAAACTGTATACAGAGGTCATTGCTCTATGATTTCCTTATAATCAGTAGGAGGTTATGGAAAAAGAGTACARCCACCATGGTCCATTTTAAAAATAGATTTCAAGTTTTTAAATATGTATCTATTATTCCCTTTTATTTCTGCACATGACTTTATATAATCCTTCCCCAAAACTGCTATTTTTCCCAAAGAAATACAGTCAAGTGGTGACTCTGCCACTTTTTCACACTGCAAGAACAGACAGGATATTAAAGACCCAGATGATACCTGAGCAAATACCAAACCTCAATAACTGTCCATTCCCTCCCAGCCKTATCACAGCAGTGTGACCAGAGGGAATCCCACGTACCTTGTTACCTCCTGCTGCAGTCGGGAAACACTGGGCACATAGAACATTACCCCAAAAAAAAGCAAGGGCTCATTGGCAAATTTGTCCAGCTGCTTCTTCAGAGGTTTTTCCAGTTCCACCCATCGGGCTTGCTGGTTCTTGCTGAGAAACCAAAGGCCAAAGTAGTGTGTCTAGATAAAGAAGCAAAATGTGTCAGTTCATCCTCTTTAGCAGGACCACACACACAAAGATGCAAATGCAAATAAGGAAAGATTGTAAACTGACAATTTTTCTATTCTTATATGCAGAGTAATTTTTTTTTTTAACCTCTTCTTTATTATTTTGCTTTTTAGGACTATTTTGAAGACATGAATCACAAATTGATATTGCACTAGAATATAGTTCACATCAATCTTCTTACTTTCTCTCCTAAATGCATACTAAAGGGTCCCCTTTGAGATTATGGCACAAGTGACCCAAATGTTGTAAGAAAAAGAATAAAACAAAMTTGAAATGTCTGTCTCTCAGCTTTCTTATTTGACATGTTATCATATGTGATGATATGTTTATGTCTGTGCCTTAAGAACACACAGCAAACAATGAGTTCTAATCTAAGCACTTCRTGAGCCTTTGGATCAGGCCCACTGCATGCAAAGGGCAATATGATTCTTCCAGCTATTAAAAGAATGCAGATTCATATAAAATGTCAAAATATATCTACTAACATCAGAACCATCTCTCCTGACAGAACATTATTGTATTTTAAAAATACATTCATGAGGTTTAGCGATACATTAATGTAAATATTGCACTTAACATCTGCATTACAAGCACAAGTTGTTTGTGCTAAGCTCTTACAGAATTACCAGGTTAAAAACGTCAGCTATTTCCCAAGCTGTTTAAAWCTCAATGGCAACAGTAGCTCCTCTAAACACAGGGCAAATTGCTGGCAAGGTATCCTCAAGGAAGACTGGTCAGAACTAGGACCTTAAATATTGCAAACAGCTGAAGAAATATCCAATCATGTCATGAATTATTCAAGCAAAGCCCCCTGAAACTTTATTTATTAATAATTTATTAAACACCTAATCTACTACTGGAGGCAAATACATCTTACAATTAAGTGTCACTGTGGATCTACAGAAATGAAGAGAAGACATTTTCATGGTCAGTATTGGAACTTAACTGTCTCCTGCCTGGAAATCTGACTATGAATTTTGCATCTTCTACTCCTTTTTCTACAATACCGCAGCTGGCAGCATCTGGACATTTCCTACAGTGTCCCCAGTATAAAATTCTACTCTGTGGTAACACCAAGATGAATGAAATGGAAGCAACCAGAGGATTTTAGCAGAGACTCCTTTAGCAGAGACTGAGCAGTTTTAAAATTTGGCAGTGAAAGTATGACTATTTTTTTCATATCTTTTGTTCCTATTTTCAGTAATCTTTCTTGGTATTCAGTACCACTGACTTCCTACTCAATGCCAACTTTCGACTAGTTTCCATGATTTTATGTCAACCCTAAAATAAGGGGTTTTTTTGTTGTACTGTCACTTGGACAACAGTCATGTCACAGCGACAATACCTTATGCATAGTACCTAACTTTAAATAAAGATTCTACAGACAAAGAGCATTCACATGTGAATTTTCCAGACACACCTTCAAAAAAAAAAAAAAAAAATCTTCAGAAGTGGCAAACAAATTTCCATCATTACACCTTGCTAAAGACATCATGAAACAGTTGGTTTCTCTGYTGTTGTCTTTCTCTGTCCCTTCTGGTGAGGACAATATCTTAAAATCATGACATCTGCTAAGATTTATCCGATGACACAAGAACAGCTAATGTGGCTTTGAAAAGATAAATTACTTAGCAGTGGGGGCAACGTTGCTAACTGTTTTATAGCTGAACACAAACAAGCAGGAATCATGTACTAAAATTCTGCCCCAGAGTGCAGGTGTATTTACTTTAGCATCTCTTTCCACACATATTTTCAAGTTTGGGGAATGTCCAGACTTGCATGTAACTAACGTGATAACTAATTCAGGTTGATTCATCAATCAACCTGACAAGCCTGCAATGCAACTTCAGCCCTGCTCAGTCCTTCCCCTGCAACCTTTAGCTCGGCACAGCGGAGCAACTGACTCCTGTTTAGGAGGGAGGCGGCGTAGGATTTCCCTCTGGAACCTCAAGGCATCTTCAATAAAACAATCAACCTGGGAATGAATAAAAAAGTCCCATAGGAGAAACAAAACTTCACTAACCAATCCACTGATAAACATCTGCCATGTCTGTGTAGGCAGCACTGTATTAAAAAAAAAAAAAAAAAAAAAGTGTTTTCTTTACGACTAGCTCATTGTGGTAGTAATTAGATTAAAACGAAGGTGGGAGGGAGAGTAGAGACAGCAAAGGGAAGGAATGCATGTGAGGGCAGGAAAAAGCACAGAGCTTTCCCCACCTCATAGGGGAAATCCTTTAATACATGAACTCCCAAAATTCACTGCAGGGCAACTCGCCCTCGGCAAGAAACAGCACGGATCTGTGAAAACAGATCTTCCATGCTGCTCAAACATTAGTAAACACTCACATCACCAGCATCTAAGTTCTCAGTGTCCAGTAGCATTAAAACACCTCGCAGCTAAGATGCTTTGCAGTTCTAAAGCCTTAAAAAATTAACCAAAGGATTAAGGATATCGCATCCAAATGGCTCGAAGGAGCCCGGTCCATCCACAGGCAATGGAGAAAATTTAGATTTTCTGTGGTAGAAAAGCTCTTCAAAAGAACCAGAAGCAGAAAAGGGAATTGCTTTCAAGGACCATGAAGGCAGCAGCAAGGCTCTAGATGGCTGCAGAGGCAGGGGCTGAGCCACCCCAGCCTGCGTTTTGCACACCAAGGAAAAGGCTGTTTTCCTGGAAGGGAGCCCGGAGAAGATTGAGCAATTGGAGATGAAGCACAGGGATTGCAGAGCTATATCCTCAGTGAGGAATGAAAGCGCTGGGAAGGGACAACCAGCCCACGCACCTGAACATCAAGCTCCCTGTTGCTGTGGATTCTACTTCTTGGAAAGGCTGGTATTTTCAAATTGCCCTATGGTGCCAGAGACTGAAATAATCACTACTGTAAATGCCTAGAAGCCTTTCTCCTCCAGAAACATGAGTAATTTGGTCGTCTGCACAAATAAACCCCTGATTTCATTCCTGCTTCCACAGGGCAAATATCTACATGTGCACCAGGCTGTTTTAGCAGATAGACTTGCAGTCAAAGCATCATAGGAAACAAATGATGTCTTCGCTTTAAAAAGCATCCTTCTCCTAGCCAGGGTTTGCACACTCTGGTGATAACATGGAAGGAAGGCTTTTCAATCATACTAAATATATGCATTCAGGTCCATTTGGTGGACAAAGAGCTCCAGTTGCTAGCCCTTTTTGATCTGTCTACTCTGCAGACATACAGAGCTCAGTAAGAAAAGAGTTTTACACGAATTTCCTCTTACGTTTTTAAAACTGTCTGGCCAAACATCACGTAGCAAGCACTGCTAAATGTTCTGGCTTATCCTTCCTGGAAAATAGCTTGTTCTCTGTTAAAACAGCAGACAGAAATTGGAGAACCTGTCAGACTAATGACACAAACTAGAAAAGGTCAGAAATGAAGTATGGTGAGTCAGAAAAATAAAACTAGAAAAAGATGTTCTAATAAAAATAGTGCTGAAAAGTCTTAAACATTACAGCTGTAAGTTCAGGAGGCAAAGCAGTCATTTTGTACTCAGTCTTAGCTGTATTCCCCAGCCTGGGGCTGCTCTTTCTTACATGTCAGACAAAACCAGTAGAATTGTCAACAACAGCAAGGCCAGAGACATTTGCTAAACGAACAAAYCCCACTCAAAAGAACCCAGTGAGATAGGCTCGATGTTTATTAAGGCATCTGGCTCAGCAGTCAGCTAACTGTCTATCTCTSAGAAAGGGCAGAGTTCCAACCCCTCAGGGCAAAAAGGCATTAAGTGCTGCTGCCCAGGGGCACCAGCATGGAAGGGAAGGCAAATTTATCGCAGCCAATTGCTCCTAGAAGGTCTCTTGGCCAAGCACTGCCTGGGCCCTGTGTCCCACACGCGCCGGTAAGACGAGTGCAGCCAGGCCAAGCACGTGGCAACACGGTGCTCAACACCATTCTCTGGCCATGTCCTACTGCACGGGGACACCTTCMAGGAGGAAATGCCAGGGAGCTGCAGCCCACGGCCCCACTGCTCCTTGCTTCGGTGGGACATTGCTGTGCCCGAGGGACCATTTGCAGAAATGTAACTTCAAAGAATAATTCTGTGAAATGATTCTGGAAAGGTCCTTCTTGTCCAAACTCCTGCTGGGGAAAAAAAAA